TTTGAGATGAGTGAGGGAGGTGTAGACACATGTAACTCCATGAAGCACTTGAACATTCATTAAAAATTCAACTACAATGACCTGTACTTCTGAGTGCTGGGTAATTGACCAGGCTGAACAACATGTAGCAATTCATTTGTTACTGTGGGATTATCCCTAGTGCATTGTCTCAACTACAGTGCCCATATATGTAGTCCAGCCCCATTTCTTTTTTCCAGGGTGGAAACAGCTCTATACTGTGTTATATATGATTTGCTCACCTGGGTGAGGTCATTCATGGCTCAAGCTGTATGCACATGATGCATGCATGTAATTGTGCTATCATGACCCAAATGTATACAAGCACCCAGCTGAAACCCACTCAACTTCATTTACCACTCTTCAAACCAAGGGTACCTTCTCAAAGGATGAACTGGAAATGTGGTGCACTCCAGCCCAGAGTATTGGGTGAATGTTGTCAAACTGTGATCACTACATGTAATATTTGACTTCAACCATCAATGAAACCAAAGAAAAAAGAACTTAAAGAGTGACACAAGTTGGTAAACAAATCAGGAATAAAGAAAACAATAAAAAACAAAACACAAGACTATTCATCCTCAGCTAAAGATTCCTCCTCACCACCACCATCAACTATTTCCTCCCTAGCCTTCTCCTTAGCTTGAGTGATTGCTTTTAAAGGATGCTTCTTGGTGACTCTTGATCCATCAGCCTCCTTATACATAGCTTGAGGATTAGTTACAGGAGTAGCCTTACCCTCAGTTGAAGCCCAAACAGATCTGAAAGGTTCAGTGATTGGGATTAAAGCTTGACCTTGATTCTTGCTGTTGGAGTCAAAATCAGGAGCCACTGAACCATCAGGACCTCTTGAAGAAAGAGGAGCATGTAGCTCTAAACACAAGTCTAAAGTATAGAGATAAGAAAGAGAAGTGGGAGAAAACCTATCATGAAACATTCTAGTCATTTGAGGCCAATCAATTTTGCGCTTGAAATCACCTTTATCATCAATGAATTCTCTAAGTATAGTAAATAAATGATGGTCTAATCTACTCCAGGACCTTTGATAAAAGACATGTGGTTCTGACTTTGAAGCTTGATTTCTTCTTTGAGCTAATATACTAGACATATGAATTAATAATGCTGCATCTGTCATTCTCTGCTCTTTATACCAAACCCAGACATGAAATAAACCAGAAGTTCCAAACATAAGAAAAAGCGCCAAAGCCTGAATAGCCTGCCTTCTAAAATTGAAAGTTTCATCATTTGCTGCAGATTGAATTTCTTTCTCAGTCACCTTAGCCAATGCATCACTTGAAGGAACTTGATTCCTCTTCAGACCAGAAATGGCTTTGACAGGATTTTTGCGGATATAATCTGATGAAAGTTGATGTAATACTGATCCTTTGAGCTCATTCCTTCTAGCTGTAATCTGAGTAGCAGTTCTCTTGACCTTGCAATACAACTTGAGCTGTCTATTATAAACATCTCTCTCATAAATTAACATAACCCCAGTAAGCACTAGTAAAAACCTTTTTTGAAGCCAACTGATTCCTAAAGGATGAACTTTACTGGATTTCTTTTCCTGCTCCTCCACAGCCTTCATCATACATTGCTGCCAAGCCCAAGCAATACTTTGAGACATTGGCACCATACTTGCTGCCACCTTATGTTCACCTTCAGTCTTAATTTCAATTTTTTCCGATTTAGCATTATAAGAAATTAGCTCTACACTTTCCTCAAATATTCTATGGATAGTCTTGTGAGCGGTTTTCAGTTTGTTCTTGATGTCTTTTTCAGATGTCCAAACAGTTGATTTCGAAGTCCGGCAGGCCATAGAGTGGAAAGCTCGAAAAATACGGTGCCTGGAGTCCCAAGGATAGCGAGTAGACTCATGTATAAGTGGCCACTTAATCAAAGATTCAGTGAGGTAAGGGTCCGTTGCAGCGATTTGCAAAAGTCTTGGACCTGATTCAGAAGCGTAAGTGTCAGCAAAAGGTTAATGACTAGGAAAAAAAACCACAGGGGACGAGAACTTACAAGCGGAAATGTTTTTTGGGGTATCCCTCTCATTTACTTTCCTTTTCATCAAGACTACCAGAGGCTGAAGGGTATCATGAGTTGGCTGTCCCAATTGGCTATTCTCATGATACTGCCAGCTCGAAATAACGCCAATAACTGAATCTTTCAATGCCTCGCCCCAATCGAATTGAGTGGCGCTCAAAGTTGTAGCCGAAGTACGAATAAATTCGATCTCGTCAGCTGTAGGATTCTGGATGAGCTCTACAGACATAAAACACGTCAGTAAAGCAGCTCAAATGTAAGAAAGCCCGCCGAAAGTAAATTCTCGGCGGACTTTATTCAATGCACAACGAAAGGAAAAGCCCGCCAAAAACTGAGTTTCGGCGGGCTTTTTACTTTGAGGTAGAGGGAAGGAGATAGAGGAAAGGAAGAGGGGAGAGCGTGAATGTTACAAGACTTACTGCTGATGTCCAGTATCGAGTCAGAGTTATGGAAAATTGAGTCTGGGGAGATTGGGAGTTCCTCGACCGCAAGTTCGACCGCCTTGGCAGGTGTATCTTTACCAGCCCCTTTACCTTTAGCTGCTAAGTTCTTCGCATCAACCACCTGATTCTGAATCGCATCAGGTCCTCGGATCTCTTCTTCCTCCTCACCATCTTCATCAGATTCCTCGGAGTCCTCGGAGTCCTCGTCGTCCTCGTCGTCTTCGTCGTCGTCTTCGTCGTACACAAATTGTGCGCTCTTGTATTCAACTTTCCGCCTTTTCTTCTTTCCTCCACACCCTTCCTCTTGAATCTCCTTCTCACTGACCCCAGCCTCCAAGTCAAGATATCTTTTAGCGGCCTTGGAAAGACCTGAAGGACCGGTAATAATAGTCAGCCTATTATCAGCAAGGCGGTGGTTAAACAAGTAGACTCACTTTGCTTGGTGTGAAGTCCTACCTTAGCCTTAATTTCTGGTCGAGGAACTTTCGGCATTGGATTACGGAAGGGTATTATCTCAATTTCATCTTGACCCTCAGTTATTGCCTCGTTGAGTCGTTCCTCTCGCTTCTTCAGAGCCTGATCTTGGATGGACAAGGCTGTCATCATCCACTCTATCTCACCATCAAAGTCGATGGGATCGTCTTCTTCCTTAGTACTTTCTTGGAAGTCTTTGAATGCTTTCAAAGACTCTTCGTGTATCGCTTTGACTACAAAAGAACAGTCAAATCAGCTCTCATACCTAATAAAGCTGTACATCGGTGGTGATCACTTACATCGTTGATAACAACTCAACGCGCTCGTTACTTTCATTTTCCGTACAGCTTGGGAAGGAGTTAACTCCTGTGAAAGAACATGCCAGAGATAGTCAGTTGTAGGGTCGGCGGAAGATATAGTGGATGAAATGATCAGGTTTTAATCAGGTATGTAGATGAAATGAGATGATGAGAAAGCCCGCCGAAAATGTATCTTCGGCGGGCTTTCTAGCCGGATGAGAGAGGAGCATAAGAGTAAGAAACCAGAAAGCCCGCCGAAAACATATATTCGGCGGGCTTTCTGGTATGATGTCGAATAGGATAGACAAGGAGAGACGAGAAAGCCCGCCGAAAACGTATATTCGGCGGGCTTTCTGGTATGATGTCGAATAGGATAGACAAGGAGAGACGAGAAAGCCCGCCGAAAACGTATATTTGGCGGGCTTTCTGGTATGATGTGGTTTAAGATGGAGAAGCGGAAACCGGAGATGAAAGAAAGGAGTGGAGAAAGCCCGCCGAATATACGTTTTCGGCGGGCTTTCGTGTGGGATAAAAAGGAAAGTGTAATAGAAATGAAAGAGAGAGATGAGAAAGGAAAGAGAGACATTAGAAAGCCCGCCGAAAACGTATATTCGGCGGGCTTTCTAGTTTGCATGATGTAGTCACTCACTTCGCTTGGGGTCCTCTCGGCCTTGGGTATCTTGTATTTGTTAAGCTTGTCGATAGCGGATTGAAGTCCTGGGTTCGGAACAGCCTATGTTGATGAGATGAATCAATCAGCGATCGACCTCACAGATTTCGCTCAGGTGGCACTCACTTGACCTGGGGTGACATCCATCTCTATGTCCATTGCTGCTTCCACTGACATTTCCTCCTCTTCACCTTCAGCTTCGATTTCGATGTCAGAGCCCTAATCCATGAATCCACCATGAGTACCATGTTCAGCTACAGATGCCAGGTGAACTCACATGTTCGGACTCCCCATCAGCTTCAGCCTCGACCTCCATTTCTCCTCCTGAGCCGTTTCCAGTCTCCTAAGAAGATTAAATAAGTTAATATCCAATCATATTGAGGTACTTACATCACTCCTCCAGCCAACTCACATCAGCCTTGGAGTCACCCAGCTCTTGATGTTGATCGTTTTCATCTTCTTTTTGTCTTTGATGAGAGTCTCCAGGGGACTGCATACACAAGTGAGCGATTTTTAGCTGCTATGACTTCCAGGTGATTCATTTGATAGGCTTACCTGGTGGCCAGTAGGTGCTGCAGGGGTCACTGGTCGTTCCTGGACCTTCGATTTTGGGGCTTGCTGGATCTATCATCACAAAGTTAGACTTCTTGCTTCTACATTAGAATTGATCAAACTCACCTTAGGCATTATCTGTATCAACAAGGTATAGTTTGATGAAAGTTAGTCCGATTTTGTAGTGTCATATTTGCACTCATGACTTACTTGATGCTGATGATGAGGTGGCTTTGCTGGTGTGTTGGGTGTTTGTGTTGATGATGATGATGATGACTAGTGGAGGTGTTTGGTTTAGTTGAGAATGAAGTGGATGAAATGAAAATTCGAAGGGGAATTGGAATCGAATGTGAGGTGAGACCTGGAGTGGTCCGCTTTTAAACATAAATGGACACCTCATCCACTTGGGTCAACTTGTGGTTGCTCGACACATGACATCTTAGGTTTACATTCAGACCTGTACCGGACCTTTCACACATGTGACATGCGAACTTGGAAAAAGGTTACACCTGGGATTCGAACCCAGGTCCTCTCCCTGTCTGGTTTGGTAGTCAAGCGCTCTAACCACTGGACTATGGTCCCTGTGGAAGTATACATGGCTTAAGTGTAATATCGCTACATCTCATCTATTGAGTTACTGACCCTGAGATGTGACCTGGCATGCTGTTTCCACTTGCGCTTACTGTTGATGCGCGTGGGGTTAGGGTGGTGCATTGGGCTTAGCGTTATATGACACAGCCTGGTGATGATCTTTGGATTGGTGTTGTACTTCACCATGACCACACGCAGCCTACATAACTAGGGTGATGGAATTCATATGTTCCATGTACAAATTCAGCTCATTGACATATTGGCTGCGTGACGACAGTCTGCCAAAAGTGACAACTCGGCGTCCTTTGAGTGCTAAACTTCATTGTTAATGCTACTGATGACCTTGCGCCCCAAGTGATCATAAGAAAGTCCGCCGAAAATCCATTTTCGGCGGACTTTCTTTAAATTGCGCCCCAATATTTAGGGGCTCAAGGCTCAAGGCAAAAGTATTGGGGCGCATCCGGCCAATTGCGCCCCAATGCGCCCCAACCCTGAGGTCTCAAGGCGGGGAGGCGGTAGCTAGGGTCAAAGTGCGGAAGCTTGCAGCCTTTTACAATTTCATGGAGATTAGCTTCCACCATCTTATCCTGGTACTGAATGCAAGAATGTATTCCAGAGAGAGTGACCGTTTTGTTGTTGATCTCTAGTGTTTCCTGATGATGATCAGCCCAAAAAGTAGACTCGGGCATTGTCTCAGACATGTAGATGGTGGTGGCGAGGTGCATGAGCTGACGCATGATGTTGAATGGCGCTGATTTGTTCTTGTGAAGAAAGTCAAACTTGCTGAAGTCGTCAGGTGAAGAAGTAGTGGGGTCTGAGGAAGGATCAAAAGGGCCTTGCTCAGCAGCATTATCCATTAATTGTTGTGCAAAAGCCATTCGAACACCATATTGAATGTGAGCGATGAGACAGGTGAAATTATCAGGTCGATCGTAAGATTTGTCAGCTTTGAGCATTGCACGAGCCAGGAACTGTAGAGCAGGGAGCCAGTATTGACAATGTGCAGCACTGCAATAGAGCTGAAAGAGTGCACAGAGTATTTTAGATACCCGTCCTCAGATTGGATCGTGTATTTCAGGATCTCTAAGTCGATTATTGTCTTCATCTTGTTGGTGAAGATTGACAGTGATTGATTCTATTGCACCCTTGAGATTGGATAGCATGGCTACATGAGTATTGTAGAACTGAGTATTGCTGTCTATTTTCTTTTCAGATTCCTCAATCATGAACCACATGAGCCTAGCCAGAGTGTTGGCGTATTTATCAACCAAAGACTGCTCTTGTAAAGGCATGAGGCCTGTCAGCCCTGAGTACTAACCAGTAGTACCAATGGGCGACGTATAATAATACATAAGCATAAAAACAATAATTACAACTCATGGCTCAGTCTCAAGAGTCAAGTACATATGATTTAGCATATGTAACATGTGCAAAACTTACATAAAAGAGTGTGTACGTACACAACTTTTATGTGAACCAATGCTACATATATTTCACAGCCGTAACAAGGTCGTAACAAATGAAATGTATGTTCAAACAGTTTATAACAATATAACTGTAATAACCTAACCACGCAACCACAGATTGTGCGCACTCCTAGTGTAAAGATTCTCAAGGTCTGGAGTATATAAACCCTGAGAATCCACTCCTCCTGATCACATCATCACATTATTATTCAACAACTTTTACAAATAAATCATATCAGCTTTCTTTATAACTTTCAACTTTGTGTCTTGTTGAGTGTTGTGTGTTTACATCCAACCTTATTTTCTGCCTGATTAGACACCATAATCAGTGAAATCAGTAATATCCATCAGGTGGAATTACTTGAAAGGAAGTAGTCCTTGAGTAAGGCTTACATCAGATTTGGGATTAATCTGATATAAGAAACTCTAAACCTACGGGGAACCTCTATCAGTCAGAGTATAAAGTTCCCAGTGTTAAGACAGACATTAACACTACCCTTATTGATCATTCTGTGTCAGAAGTGAATCAATTTGGGACTGAGAACTGTGCATCAGTTGCTCCAATCTTTAATTATTGTAATAGACAATAATTAACCCAAAATCCCTGGGCGAAATCCTTTGTTCAAAGGTCATCTAACTGGAGTCTTTACTTGTGTAATTCAAGTAAAGCTCTTTCGCCCAAATCCCATACCATTGAACTTGTGGATAGCAATCCCTACAAGCCTAGTAGAAGTCTAACTAACTTCTACCACCTTTTTATTGACTCTACTAGCCAGACAGAAGCTAGTAGGCTCACAAGGCCTTTGTTGTCTTCCACATCGCTGGGACACACTTGTCATTAGAGAAGGTAAGAGTGAGGCAAACAAAAGGTAAAAGATGAAAGCTTACGTAGTCTCAGCCAAACAGTGCCTTTTGAGAAACTGACCTGTCTGGTGCAATCTCTTCATTGTTGTACTTATCCAATGAGAGATGTAAGGCACCATTGCCTGAATAGGCTCTATTTCTTCAGAAGGAAGGATGATTTGCTCTACAGTTCTACCTCTATGTATGAGGTCTGCAATGTAGTGATGGATGCCAGAGACGTAGAGCCAGTTTGATAGCTGACTATACTTTTCCGGATCAGCAACCAAAGGAGAATGAGAAGCATGAGCGTCCAGTTTGCTGACCAAGAGCTGTACCGCATCAGAGTGTTCTAATTCAGGAGAGGGAGAGCGATCATGACCAGGCAAGACATGTCTTGGGCGTGACAGGCCAGGAAGAACGGCAAAGTAGTATCTTAAATTATGGCTGTAAAGCTTTTGACACTTGGTGGCTATGATGTGCTGGACTACAAGTTTTGAAGTGTAAATGTCTGCAAATCAGGGCAAGCACAGTCAGTTTGTGATGCGGAGATGAGGAGAGAGTCACCCAATACCATTGTGTTTTTTCCAAAAGTGCTCCTTGATTGTCTTCAATTCAGGATAAGCACGATTGCAGAGTGTGCAGCTGAATCCGTTGTAGATCTTGAGACCCTGGACTGGCTCACATGGCTTTCCCAGCTCATACCCAGGGGGTAAAACTGGAGAGATGGGTTGGACAGCCACCTCAGTGTACGCACTCAAGTCATCCAAAGCCTGCTATTTATTGAAGTGAGTCCCTTTCAAATCAGCATTTCTATGTGCAGCTACCTCAGTAGGAGGCACACCCTTATGGCACTGCACACAGATGAGGATTGAGCAGCGCTCATTCCAAACCAAGCCGTATTCGGAAAGTGCCTCGGACGCTAAGCCCATGGCCCAGTCAATAGACAGCTAAGCAAAGATATGAAGAGGAGCAGCTCACCTATTATGTCTTCGCCCAGAGGCACCACTCTTGCTCCACTCTTATCAGGCGCACGAACCTTATCACGGGGACCAGTACCCTTACAGACCGCCAGATGTGCGCCCAAAGACTTTGGTCTTTTGTGTTGATAGGTGCAGTCACCCATTGGACAGCGGAACACTCCATCTTTGCGGGAAACTTCCATGACATCACCTTGTCCATTGGTGACATTGATGGTCTCACAATGCGTCGCAGCCACATGATGGTCTCTTTTGCCTCTAGTATCGAACGTTGAATCACATCCAGAGCAAGGAAACATTCTTCATGAATGTCGATGAAACATGTCAGCTCAAAGGAGCACACCGGAGCAGTATCTTGTGTTCAAACTGACAGAGCAGGGAGAGATAGAGTTCAGAACTGAACCTATGAACTATCTCAAATCCCTCGAATAGAGTTAACTCACCTGACAGAGCAGGGAGAGATAGAGTTCAGAACTGAACCTATGAACTATCTCGAATCCCTCGAATAGAGTTAACTCACCTTCACATCCAAGAAGAATATGGAATCTTGGATCAGCATTTTTATTTCCATCACAATTGAGATAATAAAAAATCTATCTAAGATGAATGAATGAGAAACATTATTTAAACTACATACCTGACAGAGCAGGGAGAGATAGAGTTCAGAACTGAACCTATGAACTATCTCGAATCCCTCGAATAGAGTTAACTCACCTTCACATCCAAGAAGAATATGGAATCTTGGATGAGGAAAGGAAACTCTATTCGGTGCTCGTCGAGGTTTACAAATAAGCAGTCTAACGAAATATAGGTTAATAATGATGACAGAAATGACAAGATACATATAAAGTGTTAACACACAGTTACATATGCAGTTAGATTAATAAATGATAAATGAAATATAAAACGACAGTAAAGTTCAGTATTGTAAAATTGAAATATTAAGAAATGAAAAATGTCTCTATACTTCAACATCCCCCCTATTTCATAAATCATTTTTAAGTCATGTTGTTTAGTTTAAGCGCATGCTGAATGGCTTGTGGACCTAAAGGTTTTGTTAAGTGGTCGGCAAGCATTTCTTTGCTTGGGATATGATGAATTGTAATTTGATTGGATTGAATAAGGTCGCAAATGTAATGAAAACGTCGATCGATGTGTTTGGATTTGGATTTGAGACCGTCGCCAGTAGCCGTAAATATAGCAGAGGTATTGTCTATGTAAAATGGAGTAGGTTTTTCAATTTGATGCATGATATCAAAGTAAAACGATCTGACCCATGCTAAGTGTTTTGAGCATTCAGTGGCTGCTAAGTATTCCGCTTCAGATGTCGATAAAGCGACCACTGATTGTCGTTGTGACTTCCAACATACAGCGCCGTTCGACACCTTGATTACATACCCAGTAACTGACTTCCGTGTTGTCACACATTGAGAGAAATCCGAGTCAGAGTAAGCTTCGGGTTCAGCGCTCCCCCCATTGTAGGTGATAGATAAGTCTTGAGTCCCTTTTAAGTATCGGAGTACATGTTTTGCCGCAGTCCAATGCGCGACCGTCCAAGCCGAGTTGTATTTAGATAATTGTGAAACAGCATAGGAAATGTCGGGTCGTGTGCAGGCCGATATCCATTGTAAGCAGCTGACAAGTTCTTGGTAAGGGATGTCCTTAGCCTCCTTGATTTCAGCAGTCGTTCCAGGGCCGAGAATTA